TAGTTTTAAATTTATTTAATTGGGTAATATGGAATTCTTTGTAAGTTGTAGGATTATAGGATGGTTTAAGAGTATCTAAAATATGCCCTTTTTTATTTAAAAGTCTATGCTCAAAGTTAAATTATTATTGTAGTTAGGCAGTATTATAATATTATGTAATAATAATACCATAATTATTATTATGTATTATATATAAGTATAAGCATTTGGTTTTTGGAAAAAGTTTGTTCTACTTAGGTACCTTATGACTTTAAAAATTATTTGTAGCAATATAATATTATAATATATACTAAAATGATTGAGAGTTTCCGCTAAGAATCGTTTTGTGTATGCATACATTTATCATTAAATTAAAATTTCGGTTACAATTGATCTTCACAGTGACAAGGTAAATTCTACGCAAGCTACTGAACAGCAGAATTATTACTCYCCCGTGCTCTTTATTTCTATTATCATTCAAGATTCAACTTCGGCTACTATGTGTTGTAAATAGAATTTCGTTTAAAACATTTTTTTCCCCCTATTAGATATCTCCATTTCATATATCACTGTATTAGTGTATTATAATAAATTTAATTAATAAACTATAAACAAATGTTTATTGTTTACATATTTCTTGATAAATAATAATGACATGTAGAATACGACTTGCCAAAAATATTCCAAAATAGTTTTTATTGACAATATGAATCAATTCACATGAATCAATCGACGAATTACGTTCTTGACYATTAGTTTGATATATCTATTATAGTCAATACTCTCGTAATTATAGAATACGTAGATTGGTTCAAACAAATTTAATGATATCACTCACCTTATAATGAAAGTGCGTGGTTGGGTCCACTACGAATGATGAGCTCCAAAAACACTTCGATGATCTTTTTTTCTCTAGCTTTGCGTTAGCCATTTTCGTTTCGAACCAGTCCGGTCCAGTGGATCTTTCGTGTACCTTTCTTGAGCTGCCCCATTTATTCGACTGTGAAAACAAATATTTTGTATTACAAAAAGACACCTGACTCTCATACATTATCATCTATGTTTATTTTACATAAATATTTTTTTTTCAAGGTGTAGGTGTCTAGGTTGCAGGAGATAAAAATGTTAGAGTGAAGTAAAATGTTTATTAAATATCAAAGTTGCATAATATCATTTGATTGCAGCTATTTAAATAGAAGACTATATAGACTGTCCCAAAATACGTAGCTGCAAAATGAATTTAACTGTTTAAAGATTAATAACTAGTAGGTATAATATAGTGTAAAAATTCAATAAAAATATAAAAATTTTAACATCACATGGTAATAAATGAATAGTTTATTTTTCTTCCACATCTAAAATACTAGTTATCAGATTATGTGGTTATACACATTACTTCGTGGTATAGGATATTATGAATGTTACAACATATAATAAAGATAATTTGCATGCTTAATACTTATACATTTTTTTTTTTGGTAAACTTTGCAATTCAGAAATATTAGTTTCACACTTATAATATCGGGGATAATTTATTTACGAACGCTATGAAAATATCTTATCAATATCATTYATAAATGAAAAAACAAATTTATGATGAAATACTAAATGTTAATTTAACGTTTTTAAAATAACAAAACTCTTAACATTCCTAACTACTCTAAGCTGTAAGTTTTTCGTTTTGTACTAATATTACTCCACCATAATCGTTCAAATAAAATACTTACTCGATAAAATCGTTTTCTGGCAATAATTTATTATAGCCACAAATTATTAATATTTTCTGCAATTGACTTTCAAACAATAGAGTAATAGACTATATTTTTTCCAGTATCAAACCAAAGAAATTTTAACGAATTTCCGAATAATGTATGAATCATCATCAAAGAGCTTTTTGTGAACTTTTTAAAACCTAATAGTTAGCGTTTTAAATAACCAAAATTAAATAAGCACATATATGTATTAGATTATTGGTTATGTGTATTCAGAAATTTTTTTTATTGCAGGTATATTCTAAACAAAAAATAATTTTAGTATGTCAATATATATTATATTATATTCACGCAAGCGTTACCACTTATTTGATATATTATCCTATAGAGCTAGATACATAATAATTTATGATTTGAAAAACGAAAAAATCTCTAGACCTCGTCGTCTCTTCAAATATTTACCAGTGAAATTGGAGAGATACATAATATGATTTGAAAGAAATGGGCTCATAAGTGGGTTTCGCTTACATTATACAACGATGATATATAGTATCATTATTGTCGAATAATACTTAAAATGGTAATAGAATCGAAACCTGCTCTTTCTATCCTTTAGACTTTGGCCAATTATCATAATTTTTTATACATTTTGAGAATATGTTCATTTTGTGTGTACCTACACATTTAAAATCTATATCTAGTTGTTTTGTGTTTATATTTGTGTATGAATCTATCCGTTTTTATGTTATTTTTGTTTATCGATCAATGATATAAATATCATAACAGAATTATACTCTCGTACTAGTCGCATAGGCGCAACTAGAGGCCAAACACCGCCTGGGGGTGCTAAAATTATGCTGGTGAAACAGACCCGTGGGGGCTACGCCTCCACACCCCAAGTACCATACTTCAATTTAATAATTACTATAACCAATCTTAAATACATTATAAAAACATAAGCACACTAATATTTACCTCATAAATACATTAGGTGTATTACCTATATTATTATTCAGGTGATTCAAATAATGACCTACCTAGTATAAACAGATAAATAATATTTATTTTTTTTCATAACTGATGTCAAAATAATTATACAATTCGCATTTTTAGCAGTCACTTATTACATGAGGCACAATCTATCTCAAAGGTTAGGTAATAATACTATATTTACATAATATACAATATTATACATAATATATAATATACTATTTTA